GTTGCTGATTTTTGTATGTTTTGGTTTTAGATTGCATGAGCAACTTCAAGAAGACGATGATGCAGCCATTCAATACAACCGCTATGTGGAGCAGACAGAGGTTGTTGGGGTAAGAGCATAGAGAATAAAAAGTTTTGTGTGGATAATATCAAAGTTGGTGCTAGAAGGACATTCACTAACTCTAAATAATATTGATTTTCTGCACTGTTTGTTGTTGCAGATACTGTCAGTTGCTGATTTGTGTTCTGCATACCTATTTCTGGCAAAATACAACCTGAAGAAAAGAAATCTCGAAGCTGCTGAAATGTATGCTCACAAGTGTTGTGAATTTAACGAGGTAAGTGAGTCATCTTTCATTTCTGCTACTTTTTTTTCTGGCAGTCCTCGCTTTTACTTTCTTTGTGCTCTCTCTGCTTTCCTTTCCTTCCTCTTTCCATCTCTTTCATCTCTTCCTTCTTTCCTCCCTCCCTTCTGCCCCCCTGCCCTATAACAAGCAGTCCAGATTTGAGTCCTAACTGGGGTGATTACATTGTATTCTTGGGCTGAAGACTTAACTACCTTTCTCCACCCAAGTATATACATACTAGATACCTGGCAGATTTAATACATCCAGGGGTGGCATACAGGGCTGGGATGAGTAGTTGTGAATGCGACGAGAACTGGGATTAGCTTTGGCAAGACCCAACAGAGACTTTATCTTATTTCCAAAGCAAACTGTTCACAATTTTGTCTATGCTCAGTAATAAAATTACCCTATGCCTATTTATGTACTTTTTTTACTTGTGGTTTTATTAGGGCAGAGAAGAGGGAAAAGGCCTTCTTCGGCAGATTTCTAACAGTAGGTCAATTGGAGAAAGTGAGAGAGAAAGTTCTGATGCTTATACCCAAGAGTTGTCGCTTGGAAATATAACTGCTGACCATGAAGCAGTGATGTCTCCAGTAGCTCCAACAAATCTCGATTTCAACACACCATAGTGATGGCTTGTGAAACTATCAACTTGTGATACAATTTACAGCAGACATAGCTAGCTTTGTGCATACACTTCAGACATCTCAGATTTGACTTGCAAAGTTCTATGTTGGTGAGTAGACATAGCTCTACAGAAATCTGGGTAGTATCTGGAGGTGGAGATGAATTGAATGCCTGAAGAGTCGACATGGCTGGAATAATTTGCAGCTGAGTTCTTCCAAAGTGCAAGACTTATTTTGAAGCTGCAGAATAGTCTCTGATCAGAGTTGTATTTCCCCTTTAGATTATAGTTATGATAGCTAAGCCAACTAGCTAAGTCAACTATGCAGTCGATGATAATGCTAGAACTCCTTCACACCTAAAGAGAAAATTTTCTACAGTAAAATTGGTAAGGGCTGGTGCAAGTGTATAAAATGTGTGACCACTAGTCACTTAGGACAATTAATGCCAGACAAGTTAAGAAATTAAACAAGAAGAAAACTGCTGTGGCTAAAAAAAACAATACATCTGAAAAAGACCCTATTAGACATGCCACATGAGTACAATTGCCATTAAAAACACAAACTTGTACATGTCTTAAAAGTGTTGCTGTTAAGTTGGTACCCAGGGTGAGTTGGGGGGAGGGGGCAGCTGGCCACATGGTACTGACACCGATGTGCCACACATCCTTGGGGATTACAGATTGCCATGTTAGCACCATGTTTGGTGTCAGTTTGGTTGGAAATGCAAATAAAGAGATTTGGTGTACCGTTCTTGGTACCCTGAAAATGTTCGTTTTCATAGCGATTCAATTTCTCATAGAATAACATCAGTTTCTGCACTTCATCCCATATTCAACACTCATATCATGACAGTAATGCAGTTCTGTGGTCTCTGTTTGGCTCTTCCAAAGCACTCAAAATATTAATTTTGAATGTAGTTTTAATATTAATTTTTAAAATATACATTGCCTACACCATGTTTATAAAACTTGTCATAAACTCAATTTCTACTAAACTCCTGAGTAAACTGTATTTCTCCACCATGAATTACCCCAATGGAAAACTTGCCTGTCGGTTTAAATACATACTAAAAAGTTTCAAAGTTATTCTGGTCAACCCTGTCTCCCTGCTTTTAGCTTCAGTCTGTGGCAAGAGGCAAAATGTCGCTGGTATTTTTGCTTGTCTCACAAAGGAGGCTAACAGAAAGTTGTTTGATGTATTCAGGACACTGCGATGGCGCTTACATAACGACACTTTCGTGCTGCTGGGGAAACCCCGCACTCGCGCAGCAGACATGACAATACAGTACTCAAAGATCAGAGAAGATTGCTCTCAAAGAAAGAATTGTCTCAGTGTTTGTTGGTTTTACAAACAGCTTTAAGAGGAACAGCCCACGAATAGTGGACGTAATAGCATTTTTCACAAAACATCTGCGTTTCAAGACCGCCTGCTCGATTCAATCTCTTTACACAAACGACTTTTGTTGCTGTCAATCACATGGCCAAAGAATCAATTTGTGAAATCGATTTCCTGTCAAAGAAACCGGAGAAAACCGGTTATAGTGGTTTTCACCGAACCATACCGCATCCTGTCTGTCTGTATCAAGTGTTGTCTTTGTCGAAAGGTTGCGTTAGGGTCTTCGGCATGGTTAATAAATCCACGAAAGAACGAGGAAAGAAGGGAAAGCAAGTAAGCATGGCCGAGGAGAAACCACCAACTGAAGAAGTTCGTCAACCCAGTGCGGAAGAAACGAAAGAAAGCTCTGCGGGCGAAGAAACAGCTTTGCAACCCGAGGTGATTGAGGAAGAGAAAGCTCATGGCGTCGACGAATCAGCCCATGAAACAGCAACCGAGGAGAAAGCGAACGCGGAAAAACCTGCCAAGAAATCGCGCGGAAGACCGAAGAAGACAGATAGCAGCGAACCAGCGGTTAAAAAGGCCAAGACTGGAAAGAAGGAGAGATCTAGACCGGAGAGAACGAGCACTCGTGTGGCAAACCAAAGGGCAGGAATAAAGCTACAAAAGACAGAAGAACTGCCGGCCGAGAGGAAAAGATCGCCGACGAAAAGGGCCTCGAAGGACAATGAGCTAACAACGGTCTCGGAGCAAAATGGCGCAGCAGTGGAGGTTGCATGAGACGACTGCAAACATTCAAAGCGAGTTTATCTTTTGTATCATACGCGACTAGAAAAATACGTACGATTAAGCTTTATAACGCTAGGAAAAGCATATGTTCCTACTGGGACAAACTAGGTTTCTTTGTGTCTTTGTTTGTGTGGAACACCTGCCACTTTGGTTGTTATATCTACGATCAAAAAACAGTTTCGACCTACGGTGATTCATGTTTTAGATTAGACTTTTAATTTGTACCACATTGGAGGAGACTCCTCTCCATGCCTGCATTTTAAACGTACTTGTGTTTACTATAATTTTCAAAGAGTTTCGTGAACAGTGGGCATTCTCAACTGATGTGTAATTTATTTGATTTTGGTGTGAAATTTTAATTTTTTTTGGAAAACGTATAAAGTCTACGAGAAGATAAGAGTCAAAACTTCTTAAGTACTTAATGGAGTGTCCGTTAACATTTCCCATTTTTTCGTCACATGACGTATAGCTTATTTGTAAAGCGTTACTAATAAACCTTATTCATTGATGAAGTGTGCTGACGACTGGTTTTACCATCAGTGCAATAATGACCCAACCTCGTCCCCAGGGCCTTCTCCTTGACGATTTTTTTAAAAGTTTTTATTATAGAAGTTTTTTTTTTCAGTTTTTATTATAGAACCCCAGAAAAAGAACCCTGTTCTATATCTGGCCTAAATCATTTATACACTTCCCACTTTCCTGGCAAATTATACCCTATTCTAAACCACATCTGTCTGATTTCTATACCTTATCCCAGACTAAACTGCGTGAAAACTGTACCCTTCACAACAGCACATACCCATATAATCCACATATGGAAGTATCCCCCCCCACCCAACCAGGGCCATATTATTTGGCAAGGTCTAGAGGTAAATCTGAGCATTCTTAATGGCTCTTCTTAGTTGGGATTATAAGTGTTACAAGTTGTGTAGTTTTTGTTTTCTAGTGCCATGTGATAAACTACTAACTTAACATGATGGAGCTGTACTGGGGAATATTGGCCCTCAGCATTCCGTATGGGACGAGCACAGCAAGGTCTGCACTGCCGCAACCTTTGGCCAATATTCCCCAGTATGTCCCTTGCGCTTGGGTTTAGCAAGAGGTTGTCATTATATGGCTAGCTAGCTCCTCAAGTGGGATCTCTGCAGGCAAGATAGTCCCATCCCACCTGATGAGTTATCAATCACCACGCAGAATTTGGTTCATCTTGAATGTATCATGCATTCCTTAAAGACTATGAAAGATCTTGGCCAATATTTAGCCATTTTGACCTCATACTTGGTCAATAACCCATATTAAGCCACAATTTTGGGGTTGTGAGCAAATACCAAAACCATCACCACCCCCACAGTTCTCTACTAAAAAAGCTTCAAGGGTACACTTTCAGGTAAATCACCCATCAGGAGGCTGGGATCGTACCAGAATGGGGAGGGGCCTCTTTTGTAAGTCTAAAATGTATTTCATGTGAAGCTCATGCTGAAGATTTGTGAAAATTTAAATGATTAACAAAATAACAAATATTCACGATATTTGGTGTAAGCTGCACATGTACAGAGTAAGTTGAAAAGTGAAGCCCATTTCAGGATTGGATAATTCCAGAGCCATTCTGCTCCAAATTATTGTCAGTGAAACTGCATGGCCCGGAATATCCAAGTTTCCTATTCTAGCATATGTTTAAACTTACTTTGAGGTGTTAATAAACAATTAATGGATGAGGTTTTTGTGATATCCAGAATAATCAAGGTCGAGGTAGGGGTTATCAACTGAAGCTTAAGGCTGAGGCTGATAACCCTCACTGAGACCTTGATTTTTCTGGATATTGGAAAACCCGAATCTAATAATAATAATTATTATAATTATAGCTTTATTATACATTGAACAAAAAAAAATGGAAGTCATAATTTTGCTCTTCACTGACGGAAAGCAACACAAAGCGCACAAACTTGACATGCATATGATTACCCTTAGACATCATGCACCAAAGTCATACGACATGATTACCGGTGACGTTGAGTGATTATTGTACAATCTGCAGATAGATCACGTCACAGGCACTGATTTTGAAAATTCATTGTATGCTTTCAGCCAATCAGAAAAGAGATGGTGAGTTCAATGTAAATTGAAACACAATGTTCCTTAGCTTGCACCCCCAAATAAGAATATTATACTAATATGATTTCAACCTTGTTTCCCTTTGAAATTGACCCTCCCAGTTTCAAAGGGAAGAGCCCAGAGGACAAGTTTGTAATATTACCAGAGTTTCAGGCTTTCCAACTTGTGATCATACCCTAAAACCATGGCGTGTGGACCATTCATTTTTCCACAGCAAATGGGGTTGATCAATAACAAAAAAGAAAAGATCTTCAAAAGATGCTGCTTGGAAAACTGAGTTTTTTGCATACATTATATCTTGAAAATGAAGAGCAAACCAGTGAAAAAAAACTTAAGAGCAATGTTTCTCAGGTAAAACGAAGCCCACATGCCAAAATTCAGCTATTTTTGAGCACTTTTAAAAATCGCTTGAAAATCTAGGGGACGTTCTTGTCCACGGTCTTTATTAAAGACACTGTTGGCCATTATGAGAGACACTGTTGGACTTTGTTGTTCCAAAAGATATCCATTCTCCAATTTTTTTTCTTTCAATACCACTACCCTCCCTCTGGAAACTTCACTGTAGCCTTCCTTTTAAAATAATTGGCTTAAAACACTCTCACCAAAGATTTAAACCAAAGACTTTCCTTCATGTAGATACCTCTGCAGGATCCCCAAATTACCCAGTTATGATTATACATGTATGTCTCTTGCACTAACACTAATTCCTCATAAACAACTTTTTAATTTTTATTTTACATTTTTTACATGTGGAGTTATCACACAACTATGATACAACATGCCATTCATAAATGGCATTTTTCATGTGATGAATGATTGTTTACAGTCTGTTATCTGTACACTGTACAAAACCATGCGGGGTTTATGTGCATGGCTATATAATGAGGAGGATTATATGTACATCTAATGCACAATTAACTTGCACAATGTACTTAAAGTAGTTTCTTTGTACAAAGTGGTGCTCAAGTTTCATAAAAACAAGCTTTGTCAAAGGATCCATTGCCTTGATGGTTGGTTATTTACTAAAAAAATAAAATAAGACACTGCAGGGCATTGGTGATATTTTCAACATCAACATATAAAAGTGACAAACGTGTACTGAATTTCTCCATAAGAAACACACACCAATACAAACTTAAAATAAACAAAGAGCACAATTCAAGACAGTTTTTAAGGAAATGATTGTGCAGTTCTCTTGATCTACTACCATACACTGTATATCACAAGGGCTTGTTAAAATAAGGTCTTTTGAAAATGGATAATTTTATTTAAAGTTAATTTATGGGGTCAGTAGAGAACATTTTAATACACAGTAGTTTTTCTGTGTGGCGGTGGTTCCTTGGGCGGGGTGGGTGGCAGTGGCCGGCTGCTATTGAGTTTTTTCTCGTGGACTGGCATGTTAGGAATTGGATCCAGTCTTGATGAGCTCATGAAAAGTGAACTGCTTTGCCGTATTCCTTCCTTGCCTGGTTTGGTTTTTGCCTGAAGTGGGTTTATCACGCCAATGTTTGGTGTTGCTTTGAAAACCTTGTTTAAATTTGTTTCCCTGTTGAGCAGCTCCAGTTGAAAATACCTCTTTTCGTCCTAAAAAAGAAAAATGAAATAATTTACACGTTAAGTGAATTCCCATAACATGATTTCCCTCAAGGACCATGATGAGGTCTGGCAAATCCCAGCCCCTGTAGATCTGGCCCCAGTTGTCTGACAGCTGGATAACGATATCAACTGGATAAATTGCTAACCAGTGCATAAGTGTTAACAAAGCAAACTAAGCTATCTGCTGGATAGTTATTTATCCGGTGGATAGCATTATCCACCTTTTGAAACCCAGGCCTGGAGTTGTTAACATGAGACCAAAAGACCTCAAAGTTTTTTTCATTTCACTGCATGTCATGTAATAAAAATGGTGTAAAACACTCATAAAGTAAGTGAACTTAAGTCAAAGTTGTATCAGGTATTTGTGCTAAAGGGAATGTTTTAACAAGGATAATTTATAAGTCAGCACCCACCACAAGTTTCTTCATGTCCAGTTCTCTCTCTGCCAGTGCCCTCTTGAGTTGTTCAATGAACTCCAAGTCTTCTGGTCGTGACTGTCGGCTTCTGTATTTTTCTTCAGCCTCTTCCAGCCTGCAAACAAAAATACAATGTAGATCCATTTTAAGCCTCTACAAGAACACAATTTATACATTTTATTCCCAATTGATCACACAAGCCTTGGTTAAGCTGTCACAGAAAAGACTATGACCACCACATATTTCCAGAGTCTGACTTAGTCATAATAAAATATTTTTGTTTGACAACATTAAATTTAACTCATTACAGCCCAAATCACTGACTACTCTCTTTGGCTACAACATCAATGCATTCATAGCTCTCTACCTACAGTAAGCAATTAAATTAGAGGGTTTCATTCACTTTTTCAGCTGGAGGGTCACTGGTTTCTACAGGTGGGCAAAACTATCTGAACTGAACTTTGTTATTAGAAAAACTTTCTGCTAGATAGTTAAACCAAGTGGGAAAAATTGTTGTCATAGCCAGTTACAAGGGGTGGATCCAGGATTTATCTCAGGAGGGGCTGCACCACTAAGGAATGGCATAACTGACTGGTGAGGTAAACAAATTTTAAAAGCAAATAAGAAGAAGACAGCCTAATCTCAGGGGGAGGGGTGCACCCCCTGCACCCTCCCTCTAGACCCAACCCTGGGTCAATTGGCCTGGTGTCTGGCCCTTAATAAAACCCCTGTAAATTATATATCAGTATTTTGAGACTTTTGAGAGTCTAAATACTGGTACTCACATTAACTGCAAGGCAGAAATCTTGTCACTAAGCAGTTCTTTGGCTCTATTGAACTCTGTTAGTAGGGCTTGAGTCTCTCGCAAATGATCTGCAACTAACGAGTCAACCTCTTTCTGGTGTGCTTTGGCTAAATCTTCTTCCCGTTTCCTGCAAAGCAAACCACATATTACATAAATCTTACCCCCAGACAAGACTTGCGCACTTCTTCAAAATGATATTCACTGGGCTAAAATTTGCACTTGGAATACTGCAAGAAGGGTTGTGCTGAACATAACTTGAATTTTCTGTCTGTGAGTACATGTACAAACATGTGCTTAATCTCACGCCCCCCTCCCTTGCCCCCGAAACTGAAACAAAATATTATGCTTTATTGCATCAGATTCATCTAGCACCTCACCTGATTTGTGAGTTAGCCTCTCGTCGAACACTCAATATTTCTTGGCCTTTGGCTTGCAGTTCACGTTGTAGTTCCTCCATGTTGCTTCTCACCTGGCTGATCTCCTCATCCAGTTCTTTAATCTGATATTGTCTTTCTTCTATCTGCTGCTTTAATTCCTCTATCTGTTTCTGGTGCTCTGATTCCTGCAAAAATGCAGAGAGCATATTTATATTTATTTATTGCTACACCATTAGTATTGTGAAGCAGTAGTGTATTGCTACACTATGGCATGTGTTAACTTAATGGCCCTTATGTACATCGTTTAAGTGTGCTCTGTGTATGACATGGATTACCAAATATTAGGCACAATATGCACTTTAGACCATTGAGTAGTGGCACAGTATCCATTGCCAACTATCAGCTGGTAGAAACATTACACTCATAGTCTTGACAACTGCCAATTAAGTTGACACTTACCTCTCTAGAATGCAATTCATTGGCTCGCTGCAGCTGAAGTCTCATTCCTGCTAGTTGAACCTCAAATTCCCTATGCAGTCTCTGCATTTCTTCCTGTTGGACACGCAACAGCTCGCTCCTCATATTTTCTAGAACGTAAACAACATGCATTTAGGTCACTGCCACTGTACTAGTCTAGCTTTAAATAATGACGCTTACATCTAGAAGCATAAATACGTCATCAAAAAAAAAAAAAATTATCTGAATGGGTATCAAACTGATTGCATGATTCATTTCCAGTCATGTGAAGTTTAGCAGACTGCACTGTTCACACAAAGTGTAACACAGTGGGTATTGTTTTGTATGAGGTTGCTGACCAATACTAAATCTGCAATGCTTTCTTCACCAGGGAAAGTTTTAAAAGGCAAAGATGAAGCACAATAACAAAATTCTCAAGATTGTACAGTCAAGCATTAAAAATCACCTCTCACTCTTGATGCAAAACTGCATATGTAAACATCCCTCACCACACGTACACTTTTCACTTTAGACTGACCTTGCTCATTTTCATGTTGAATCGTCAACTCTTCAATGTCTTTCACTCGTTTCTGTTCAGCTTGAGATTTGACAGCGTCTATCATGAGTTTGTTGGCCTGAAGTTGGGACGTGATCTCATCTCTGTGACTCTTCTGCAGCTTGCTCTCGCATTCCTTAACACAAAAAGATAATACATGAACTTGTAAAATATCAGATCTTTCAGAAGTGATGACTGGGGTAGGGGTGTACTCTACAAAGTTTTATATGGGGAGGCTCCACCCCAAAGTCCAACCCATTATCCTTTTGTATATTTATCTACCATTTTGACAGAAAAGGTATTCCTTTATACCTTTAATTGAAAAATGTGTCCTTTCACACTAATACTTTCATAATTGGCCTGTATAATGACTAAATCACCAGAAAAGGAATTCCTCTATTAAAATGATTTACCATAGGGTGCGTCTGTTCAATTTTAATACGAAATATTTTAATTAAAGGCACTTTGAAATAACTAAATGACAGGTTTTCCTGCCCTTTCATATGTACCTAAACATGTGAAATCCCTTCCCTTTTATATCCTGAAACCTGAAAAAGGTACCCCTTTGGATGGAGCCTCCCTTATTAGTTATAGGCCATAAAAGGGAGTACTACCCACCCACAGTCCTTCTCTCATACATTGTATCTCAACAATACCTTTAGTTCTTCATCTTTTATCCCCTCAAGTTTTCTCAACTCTTCCTTGTGTTGTTCTATCATCTCTTCAAGTCGCTTGGTATGTTGCATAGACAAAGCAGCCATTTCTTCCTCCTTGTGTCGCCTCTGCATGTCAAGTTCTTTGCGCAAATCAAGCTCAGTTGTCGTGGCATTTCGGTTTGCCTTTTCCAAGTCACTTCTGGTTTCAGCAATCTGGATAAAAGAAGTACAGCTTGTTACTGTTATAATTTCTTTTAATCAGCCTGCAATATTACTGACTGTCATGCACTCTTAGTTATTACATGTTAATAAATCAGTCGTCGTTCTATTACAAGGAATAAAGTTATTACATGTTCACAGTGCAAACTTACTTTTCCATACCAAGTTACATGCAACCTTATCATAAGGTAGACTTCAATAAGCAGACTTCACAAAAGCCAGTCCTACAGAAGTCTATTTATTAATAACTGTGGTCTTGCAACAGTTCCAACAAAAAACCTGTACTAACAAACTTCTTGGAGTGTTCAAGAATGAATTTCTTAGCAATAGCAAGATGTGCAACCTGTATATGATAGAACACCATGGTTGAGTAGTTCATCCCACTATATCAACATCAAACGCCACCCAACTGTCTCTTGTAAACTTTATATTTATTAATTACTATTCCCCAGAGGGGAATTTTTTCATCATTACATGTAGCTAAGGAGATCTTCATTTTCAAGACCTTCCTCTATGAATTTCATCCATAACTTACAGTGAGGAAAATTTACAGGATCAAACAGTTGCTAGTGAGAGTGGACAAAGAAAATTTTCCATCAGCCAGCACGGATGGTTTGGTTTGTTCGCAGACTGAGAAATTGTAAATTATTTCAAAGACAAGGGCAAAATTGCAAGAGAGCCAAGAGTAAACTGGTCTGTAACACTAGCAGATCACAAATCTCTGCAGAGCTTAATGAAAAAAGAATTTTTCAGGCAAATTTAAGGCAAATCTCCAGAAGGAGTAGATTTGAGGACAGGATGAAAGACTTGCATAGTACAGTGTATGTAACGTCAACACTGCTACATGATGTGTTTAAATATTTTGCATGCCAGTAGCTATAGATTGTCAAGATGCCAACAGACAGTAATACTTACAGTTTTCCTCAGAGCATCAATTTTGCTCTGCAGCTCTGCTCTTAGTTCATCTCTCTGAATATCTTTCATCTTTGTTAGTTCCTCAAGGGACACTTTGTTTTCTTCTCTGTGTTGCTCATTCAGCTGTGAGCGCAGTTTACAGCATTCATCCCTAAAAATTGGCAGAAAAGGGATACCACTGAATGCCTTTGAAAAGAAGGTAAAATCTCCATAACACTACAAGAGTCATTTTACACAAACACTGTTTCTATAGACTAACTTGTTCCATAGTTTTAAATTCTGTAGAAAACTATTCTTTAAATTACCTTTTCTGTACATCATAAAAATGGAAAATCACCAAAAATTCAAATATACTTCTGAAGTATACTCCTTTGAAAAATTTCAATGATTATTTGATTCAAATTTTGAAAATTATGCCCAACACTGCTCTATTTAAGATCATGTCTAAAAACAACCTCAACTTAAATGAGCTACATGTACATGAACTCGATAACAGATTAACTTCCACAAACAGGGAACACTCAAAAGTTGACTTGAAACAAAAAGATATTTTTATTAGACATGAATGTTTTCACAGTTTTGTCTGTAACTGTAACTGCAAGTAGTCACAAGCCATAAATTCTTTGAAGTAAACATGACCATATTTCTGTCACACTAGATCATTAACCTTTTAAACACACCTTAATCTCTCACTCCATTTAGTATCCAGCTCGTTTGTTAGTGATTCTAGCCGAGCATTCAGGTCAATTTCTGCATCCTTTTGTGCTTTGTCGTGGAGTGCTTGAAGCCTGTACATTTCATCCTAAAGAAGATACAGGTCCTCCAATAAAACATTTTAACAGCCTCAATCAATTTGCATTGTCTGATCAATCAAAAAAAATGTAAAAGGGACAACTTAGTTACTAGCCATTCCTCTGATCTGAAATCCTATACAAAGACAGTTAAGCTGCACTTAAGACTACCGATACATGGATTCCATGTTCTCCATCACCCTTATAAAATTTGACCCAGGAAGGTTTCAAGTACAGTGTATAACCATAGCAGCTAAATAAATAATTTTTGAAAAAAACAAAAACAAAACAACAAAAAAAGAGCATTCCAGCTTAAATTGACCAAATGTACCTGTAAGATCAGCACTCATAATTTCCCATCCATGGTTGCTTTGGTCAGCACCAAAAAGCTAATTACACATGACCTCCAGCTGGTTCTGATTTGATCCTCAGAAAGATCAGAACCTGGCAGAGGTCGTGATTTTTCTTTACAAGCATGAATGGCACTGACAGAACAAACTGTGTATTTTACACACCTGGCAAGCAAAACACGTAAGCCCTGCAAAACCCCATATGAGACCCCACAGCGCATGGCCACCCTGAAAGACTGCAGACCAGCATTGGCTCAAGTCATACTTTGCCTACATGTAAATTACATTTAGCCACATTACAGACTGCTACAAACCTTCAACAATGAGAAAAAAAAAGCAATGTGATACAGGCACCCAAAACTAGAACCACTATTCACTAGCTTACACAGTACTGTACTTAAAAAATCCATACCATTGACTTTGCATAGTTGTTCTCGGCTTCCTTCAAGTCACTCTTGGTTTTCTGTAATTCTTCTTTAGACTGTTTGAGTGCCTCTTTCAGACTGTCAATATGTGATGATGCAGACCCAAGTCCTTTTTCACTATCATGAACAAGTTTACCTAATCTCTCTACTTCTTCCTCAGAAGACTTCAACTTAGTTTTTAAATCGCTACAATGGCTTTCAAATTGGGCAATAACTTCATTTTTCTCCACACGCAATCTTTCAAGTTCTTGCTCAGACTTTTCTAAGAGGTCCTTCTCTTTTTGCAATAATTTCTCTTGAAAATCTTGTTGCAAAGTCCTCACACTGGCATTGTGTTCATTGCCGAGTTTTGTTTTTGTTTCCTCTAGCAACTTGCTATGATCTCTCTTTAACTTTGCTGTAACCTCTTCCAGCTCTCTTCTCAGTGACAATTCCTTGCTGGAGGACTGTTCATTGGCTCGTTTCAACTCAGCATTATATTTTTCCTCCAAGTCTGCTTTTTCCCTCGAGAGCTTCTCAATTTCCTATCAAAAACAACAACATTATACAACTGAGCTTGTACAGTGTGATTATCTACATAAGGGAAAGTCTTGGGGGGGGGGNAAGGTAGCCATAATCCATATAAAAATAAAACTAACAACTTCAACGTACTGTAAGCAGACACCTCCTGAGTGGCCAGTGGGGTACTCTGTAAATCTTTGGATGGGGGTGTGCTGCTGGAACCCTTACCCTAAACTAGACCATAGTCAGGTTGATTTTGCAACTCCATTCTGGAATAGACACCAAAACCCCTACCCTATCCCAGACTAGCTGTTTCCTCCAAGCTGATGAAAAGTTTTATCTTCACAGTCACAGAAGCTGTATTTGCCAGTCCATGGGGTTATAAGTCTGGTCTGTTGAAACTTACAAGTCAGTCTTGCTTTGATGTTTATTGTCTGCAAGACTGAGATAAAGTTTGTCAACAGTTCATTGGTCAGTTCTAGAGAGTTTTGATTTGGCTATTGAAACTCAAATTATGTCACTCTGTTTGAGGTCTAAATCTCTTCATGAATTGGCCTTGCTTACATGTATGTCATCATGACTAAACAGAGTATAAGTTGCTGACCGTTAAAGGCCACAGTATGAATATAAATTACATTTGTACAGCTGTATCCATAAGCTTTTCAGCAGTAAACAATCTTTTATTATTTTTTACCTGTTGAAGTCGTTTGACCTCAGAATCCGCTTGTACTGTGTGAGAACTAAACTTCTTCCCCAATTCATCATGTTTGCTCTCAAGCTTGTTCAGTTTGCTTTGCAGACTGGTTATATTGGCTTTAAGGTCCTTGATGGTCGTTTCTTGAGACAACTTTGCTGCGTCAAGCTTGCTAATTTGCACTGTTAAACAATTTCACATTGTAACCTTAATGTTTGTCAGAAACAATTAAATTTATTCCCTGAGAGAGACCAATCGGGAAGTGTGACCTTTTTAAGTGGGTCCTAAAGAGACTTTTGTTGCCTTGAAAATCATTGAGACCCCAAGAACCTTTGTGGAAAAATTGAGACTGCAAGATGTACATAACCTCTAAAAACCCAGACTGCAACACCCATGAAATTCGATGAAAATTTTACGATACCATGGTTTCTGAAGGACCATTTGCCAACCTTTCTTTCTACAACTCATGTGTTTCTATCTATGTGACATGTTTCATAGATTTGTAGATGCATGTAGGATTTGTGCATGATGAATGGAAGAGTGAATGCACCTAATGTATATGAGTGCCAACCACCCACTGCCATATGATTAGCTTGTACTATATGCAATATTATTATGTAAATTAAAGAATGATTAAAGTGACATAACTTCAGCATGAAGCAAGACTTGCCATATTTATAGAGTGAAACAACAATTACTGTGTTATCGAAGGGCATTGCACAGTGTTATAGTGTGTAGTGGTTATTTTTTAATATGTTACAGATCAGTGACAGGTGCTTTAAATACAGTCATGTTAGTGAATGTGGAATGTATTTGAAATGGATGAACTCACAGTTTGCTACTTTTAACCCTGCGATGGCAATGTCAAGAGATGGAGATTTGTAAACATCTGTTTTTACACAAACACAATGTAGGTCACTTAACATTAATTTTTCATCTAGAAAGTTAAATTATATATATGGGCCTGTTTAAAAAATGTTTCCTGCAGGTACATATACATGACTCTATGAGGACACAATTAATCATGAGAATACACTACTCCCATTGGTAGCCTGTTTAGTTTGATTCAAGCATACATGTACATGTACTGAAGTGATGTTTCCAAAGTTCACCTGCTCAATCATAACATTGGTTATCACACCGTTCTAAGCAAAATAATATGATTTGATCTCCAATCAACATAAACTTTCTCAAGTACGTAGAAAAACTGCATTTTTGTTGCAATACATAAAACGAATTTTCACTTTAAAGTTATTTCAGAAACTGCCACAACAATTACATCACAACACTATTGTTCAACACTTAACGATTAGCAATGTTTGATCGTATTGTACAAACGAATAAATTAACTTACTTGATTGTCGGGCGATTTCTTCTTCTTGCTCTTCACAACGTTTTTTGGATACGGTTAAATTGTTTTCTGTATCCCTCAAAGTCTTCAAAGCTCTAGATCCTTCTAGCCTCGCTTCTTCAAGTTGTTTGGCCAAATCTGAAGAGTCTCCCTCCTTCCCTTGTAGTTTTGACTCCAGCTCGTTCAGTTGCGCTCTCAAAATTGACATTTGCTGTTCTCCATCACTAAGTTGATTCAATAATTCCGAAATCCTGTCCTTAAAGACTCTTTCTTGTCTATTCCATTCAGATTTAAGTACCATCTCTTTCTTTTCCCACTCTTTTAACTGTTCTTCTTTCCAAGTTTCCTGCATTGCATGCGAAGCTGCGAGTTCATTTTCGTAAAATGCCTTCAGTTTTTCCATTTTTTCTTGATATTCAGATTCAATTCTTCGCCTCTCCTCCGCAGCAACATCGCCAGAGGACTCTACAAGAGCAAGCTTTTGCTGATATTCTTTTTCAAGCTTTTCCTTTTCTTTCAAAACCTCGTCATACCGCACACGATGAGCTTTCATGAGTTGGTCGATTTCATCATGGTGTTTGCTCGTCAGTTGTTCAATAGCTTTGTCTCTATCGTCCTCCAGTAACTTCCTAGCGGCTTGAAAATCTTTCAAGCGCTCTTCAAACTGCTTTTTGGCGGCCAGCAATTCCTTGGACATCACCAATATCTTGTCGGAAAACTCTGATCTTAATCGAGCTTCATCCTCCCCATTTCGACGCTTGAACTTTTCAAATTCCGATAACGCTTCCTCTCGTTGCAGACGTTCCTTCGCTAAATGCGATTCCAGCATGTCGATCTTTTGTCTTTGCTCCGAAACAGCACCCAGCCTTGTTTTGAAATAGTTCATTTTCTCCTTCGTTTCTGCCATCAGTTTCTGCATCTCTTCTTCATGGGCTGTTTTCATATTTTCCAGAACATTTTCGTGTTCGTCGTTCTTGGTGTTTAGCGCGTAAATAACCTTCGTAAGTTGGGCGATTTTTTTCGACATCTTAAGATGCAAGTCTGGAGTAACATCCGCACTAGAATTACTCCCATGACTGGCCACGTACGTGCCGTTTCTATGCGGCATACTGTGAAAACTCGAAGCTGTCTTGCTCGCAGCCATTTTGACTTCTTTTCCAATGTTCTCAATGCGGTTACCATAACTACGAAGGATAAATAGCCCTCTTGTAACCACTTCCAAATATGGTAGAAAGATTGGTCGCCATATTGGATTGCTGAAAAACAACTCAGGAAATTTTCGCTGCGAAAAAGCCTAAAAAAGGAACCATTCTGACTGTAATCTGCCAGTAAGCAACTTAACTTTATACTAGTGCTATTATGTTTAGCGATGAAGCACAAGAAGCTGTAGAATTTCACTCATCGTGGAAAACTGAAAGGTATTTTGGGTGCATTTTAATATTGGCGGGAAATTAAACTTGTGCTTACAAACATTAGACGCCGAAAAATAAGGAGCCAAGCTCAAATTTTTAGCTTGTATAATAAGCTTGCTGTAAACAGCGAAAGAGAGGTAAATTAGTGGCACCAATTCGGCAGAGCAGAGGCCGATTGCGTTAGTAATATATCGGAGATATTTTGGTTTAAGAATAATTTCAAAATCATTTATAAGGACATAATTTTGCCGGGTAAGCTTAATTTTCTTATTTAATAAAAGGCCTAACTTAAGCTTTAGGTGAAAGTAAGGACGCAGGAAGCCTGTGTGAACCATTTTTACCCACACCCCAAGNCCCCCCCTCCACCTCCCCAACCCCAAATAATTAAGAAAAAAGGATACAATTGATAATGTGCACTAAAGGCATCTGGGGCTGATTGTCAATATTAATACCCTCTACTGACCCTCATTTGACACTTGATTGACATCTCGATCGACATTTTGATTGACCCTCGATCTATATCTTGATTGATACTTGGTTGACACTAGATTTACACTCGATTGACATCTTGATTGACACTCCATCGACTCTTGGTTAACAGTTAGTCAATAGTTGGTAGAGTGTATCAACTGACTTGTATGTATTGATTGATACCTGATGGTGTGTCTATGAAAATTAGTCGACTTTCAGCTGACGGTCGACTTAGATGCCAGTCAATTATACATGTAGATGGAGATCTTTATCAAGTGTTGATCAAGATGTTGATTGACGGTATCCATCGACACTTGACTGCAGATGCCTTAATAATAATGCCTTTAGTACACATGCACAATATCCAAGGAAATTAATTAAATTATTGTACATGTGTCCAAGTATACAATGTAGTAAGCTAATTAAAGAGTTGCACATGTAATTTGAACCCTACACGATGGTGCAGATTTTACTTATGTGTCAAAAGTAATTTCCCTTTGCTTTGATTTTGTATAACTGTGACAAGCAATTGACTTAAAATACTGGTGACGCATTGACATCCAACCAGAATTAAAATGATTTAACTGATCGTGAGTGGTATTTTTTTTATATTTATACATTCACAGATCTGTCAAGGATGCAGTAGCTCAAACCAGTGAGATTATCACTTACGAAGCTGATGTGCAATCTGTTCACAAAGTAGATCAAGAGGTAAATAAATAGAAATAAATAAATACATGATGCTCTTGCTAGTTAACAAACACAACATGTCATTTTAAGTCAGATGAGTGTACTCGCAGAATTGTAAATTAAGTGGTCCAATCTTTCCTAATATCGATAATTATACAGTATTATTTTATGAATATACAATTTAAGGATTGCAAAAGAAATGGTCTGGTGAAGGGTGAACTTGAGTCATGAATGTTCTATCATGGTGCCACATACATCTTAGCCATTGAAAGTTAGTGCTACTGTAATTGAATTCCAATACACACCTGCGTACACTCAGGTATTTTGGTCTACAGCCCTGAAGTACTTGTAGTACAATCAGTTTTAGAGTGCCAACATGGCTCTCTTGTCCAAGGTCCAGGTTAAATAACACAATCTTACATGTACATAAATTTACTTATAGGTTCAAACAGAAGAAGAAGATGAGAAAGGAAAACTTGTATTTGTTTGTGAGGAAGAAAATCAGGTATATAATTATATATGTTTACTAACTTGACATGATTGAAAATACTATTTCCGGTGTTGCGATCGGTGATAGTCATTTTCTAAGGTTTTTGTAATCTCATCTGTTTTTTTTTCTTCTTGAATTTTTGGCCCGCGGCTTCTAATCCATCTTCATCAGAGCACTTGGCAATCTTAAGGTTCGTTTTTGCTCGCGTTACAAGCCCATTTGAGGTTGTTTATTATAATAAATTATTTTCAAGTCTACTGTAAGTAAGTGTGAGGAATTGCTTTCCTCTTGTTGGTGGTGGTGCTGTCTAAAGTTGAGTGTCACGACTCCAAGAAAAGCCTCCTGTGTTAGTTTGTAACACTGTCCCTTGGGTGGATGTTGTGATCTGTGCATTCAGCATGCTGTTTAATTGCTGACTTGCTGTTGCTCGCGTGGCCTGTATCATACTTGGCCCCTCCTGAGCTCCACAAACGATTGTTTTCCTCAATGCGGGTGAATGTACAGCCATTGCAGCTCACTTTGTAGATGATCCCTTGGACTCAATCAAGCATTGGTTTCTCCTTGGGCTTCTTAAACATCTGCCCAATGCCCTTACTGGTCTGAAGACTGGTAAGATTTAAAAAAGGTAAAAGTTTCAGAGGATGCAGCCCACACAATCTGATGCACTCTTTACATAAGGAAGGACCGTAATTATCCCCAGTGGCCCCTCTGACTGTCTGGTTTTGGTCTAGTTGTTCTTAAACGCACTTCTTCGACAGACTACCAGGACCCAATGAAATAACCAAATAGCCCTGTGATCACATGAAATCTCTAGTGCGTTGTTCCAGAAAATAATTTATGCGTGTATATACACCCTCCCTAGAAGATTTTTTGTTTAAGCCTCCCTATCCCAGCAGAAATTGTGGTAGACCCCCTACCCTTTCTTACTTTGTAGTGACTTTCCATTGGTAGGTGGGTATGGAATTACAGGATATTTTCTGTGACTGCGCAATAAGTTAAGCTTGGAGCTCATGTTTAAAGGATTGCATTTATCTCAGTCTTTTACTTGTAACCAGAATCTTGTGAACTTCATTCTACGTGTCTACCCTGACCTGAGCCGACAGTTACAAGCTAACACAACAAGTCATGCTTTCGATGGTAAGAAACAAGGGATCTGGGCTGCTACAAATCTGTTCCTGCTACTCTCAATTTATTTATAGTACATATTACCGGTAATTCATGTACTTAAACATTACTTAGTTTTGTTCAGCTCGATTAGCTTTATAGTTATCCTGAGTAAACATTACCTCTTTTTTGTATTAATATATTATATTGTAAAGTTTAACTTTTTTTCTATTTGGTAATAAAGCTTGTTGTTGTTGTTGTTGTCGTTGTTGTCGTCGTTATATTACATGTACATACTTATAAGAAGTGAAGACGAGAGAGGTTGACCAAGAGTGAGGTTAAGATGGGTCAATATTGGCCAATAAAATTTTTTGTTGTATCTTGAATTGTAGCAAGACACAGGCAATGCCAATAAACATGTAAAAAGTGGGCCAATATTTAGCCTTCTTGACAAAACAAGCTTAGTCAATAATTATAGCTTCTCTAATATGGCACACAGAACACTGTTTCTTGCAGGAAACTGCTGGTACTGTAATCCGGCAATAGCCCCATCTTGCCTGTTCACAGTGCAGGGTTTTGTTTATCTTGCCTGTTCACAGAGCTAGCTATGTAACATGTACCAGTAAAAATGTTGGTCCATTCATGTAATATTTAATTGACATCTGCCACTTAACGTTCAATTTAGGTGGTTCTTTTGGCAGTTATTTTTAATATATCAATAGCTAAATTTTAATATGTTGTCTGTAAGAAAAGCACCTGACACTCATGATGTTTTATAGGTTTTGAAGTCAGTGTGGATGAGGCAACAAGTTCTGTATCATGCACTCACACCTTGATTAATGCAGCATTGGCTGAAGAGGAGGTGTGGATTGTTTACAAAAATATCTTTTTTGTTGACTGGAAAGTTTTTTTTTTGTTTTTTTTTTGTTTTTTTGTTTTTTAATTTTTTTTTTATTAACCAATGACATACGTTACTTACATTAAAGTTACTTACAGAAGATTAAAATATCTACAATTAACTTACAATCAAAAATAAATATATAATTAGCTTACGATAACAACTCTACAATATACAATGATGAGGAACACACTTATATATTAACAAACAGTACCGAGATTATTTACTAATAGATTATTCGCATGAAATATACAAACGCGATTACATTGCTCACAAAAATTAATACTAACAATACTACAAAGCTT